TCTTCTTCTTCTTCTTCTTCTTCTTCTTCTTCTTCTTCTTCTTCTTCTTCTTCTTCTTCTTCTCCTCCTCCTCCTCCTCCTCCTCCTCCTCCTCCTCCTCCTCCTCCTTCTCCTCCTCCTCCTCCTCCTTCTTTTTCTTCTCTCTGTCTGTCTCTCTCTCCCTCCCTCCCTCTTTCTCTCTCTCTTTTCTTCCCTCTCACCCTCTCCCTCTCACCCTTTGCCCTGTTTCTCAGAGATGAAGGAGGAGGGAGAAGTAGCTCCTGGCTCACAGGTTTCCTCTTCAACTCTGGCTGCCTTGGAAAGGACGTGGAACTGACGGATGGGGAGGGAGGGGACAGAGGTGAGGTCCTCACGGGACTGCCAATGTGGGCACCTCCTGCACCTGGATTTGGGGAAGACCTGCCCACCAGCCACCAGCTGCTCACAGGGATTGGACAGAAATTCAAGGAAGCGCCCCCTCGGGAGAGAATGGAAACAGGAATGTGCACTGACCCCTCAGCAGAATTGATGGAAAGGAAGCTGGCTGGCTCTTGGATTCTCTCTCCTTAGCCAGTCGCTCCCCCACCTGCTTCCAGTGCCCATAAACAACATGGTAATACTTTTCCTTTTTGTTCTTAGGCCTCTTTCTCCTACATTTCTTGAGTGTTGTCTGAGTGACTCCGGAGACCATAGACATGGGGCTCAGAGTCCTTAGGAGCAGGAAAGAAAGAGAGGGAATAGACTAGGGCCCAAAGCACAGGTTGGGGGGAGGGGGGATGCTGCTTTTTAATATGACTTTTTAATATGGGACCATGCTCTGAAATGAATAAGTGTTGATTTTGTGTCCAGTTGCCTATGTCATAGTAGAGGTTCGCCGGATCCTAAGTCCAATGGATCAGTATTTTCCAAAAGCTCTGGAAAGTACGAGGCTATAGTATTTGGGGTTAGTATTTTGTGCTTTCAGTTTGGGACCAGGATGTGGAACAGGGAATGAAAGAGATTCTATTTCCCACAGGACTCTAGCCCAAATCTACAGATTCAAGAAGTTTGGATGGCCTGGGGTAAACAACTAGTGTTTGAATAAGAACTTCGGTGGTTTTTTTTAATTCCTGGCTCTTTGACTTCCATTTGGGAATTCTGTACACAAACATGAGAGATAGCATGACATAGTGTCTACAAGGCCATCAGCCTCACTCAATAGACCTGGATTGAAATCCTGCTTCTGACACATACTAGCCCTGTGAACATGAGTAAATCACTTCACTTCTCAGGCAACTCTTTAAAACTATAAATTATACACAAGTTGCTCAGCTGCATTGGTGGAAGGAATTTCCACACTGGGAGTTTCTTAAGCTCATTAAATTGCAGATATGGCTGTCTTCCCCTCCCCACCAAGAAAATGCACCTATACACAAGATTGTTATACACATAGAGAACCATTCATACCAGGACATACAAATGCACAAACATTCATTCTATCAGCACATAAATGCCATCTATGATAGGCATACATTCATATTAGCACGTATATTAAACATGTATTCACAGAACATACACACACACAACACCATAGTTCTGTGTAGATAGAGTTAGGCTGGGAATCTGAAGAGTTGGGTTTAAGTCTTGGTGGAGATTTAAAGGCACCTGTGAGACTTTGCACATTTGATCTCACTGGGCCTCTGTTTCCTCATTTGTAAAATGAGTGAGTTGGACTGGATGATCTCTGGTCCTTCCAGCTCTAAATCGATGACTGTTATGATGAACATGCAAAACATGAGCTTACATGGACTCACTTGCATGCAAGCACACCCATGAGGGGCTGGAAGAGCCCTTGATTTGGAGTTGAAACACCTAGGTTTGAATATTGACCTTGCCATTCACTGCTTTGGTGACCTTGGGAAGTCACTCACCCTTTCTCTGTACCTTAGTTCCTAACTACATGCTCTTAAGAGCCTTTCCAGCTTTGAATGTAACAATCTGGTGATCCTCTCCAACAGGCATTTGGACAACTTCTCCAGGCTCCAACTAGAACCTGGAGGAATTTGCCAAGCCTAGGGCAGCTGGGTAGCACAATGGACAGAGTGCTGGACTTGGAATCAAGAAGACTTGAGTTTAAATATGGCCTCAGACACTAGCTGTGTGACTCTGGGCAAGTCAATTAATGGCTTTCGCCTCAGTTTCCTTGTCTGTAAAATGGGGATAATGATAGCTCCTACCTCAAAGAACCCTTGTAAGAAAAGAGATAACACATGTAAAACATTTTGCAAACCTCAAGAATTCTATGGATATAATATAAATGCTAGCTATTATATGCTAGCTATTTCACATGAATGGTAGCTATTATTATTTTAGAACTATTAAACTTCTTTCAAACATCAGTCAGTTCTGAAATCCAGAAATATTCACAGAGCCCCAGACCAAACCTGAAACTAAGAGTCAGACCTTCCATACCTATCAAAGGATAAATTCTGAGCAATAGAATTGCAGTTAGAATCCCTAGGTTGAAATTCCAACATTTCCACTTACTACCTGGGTGATTTGAGGCAAGTATTATCCTTTCTCTGGGTCTCAGCTTCCTCATCTGTAAAAGGCGGGGTTTGGACTAGGCAACTTCTAAGGCCCCTTCCAGTTCAAAATCCTGTGATTTTCCCAGGGAAGACTTTGATTTAGGGACAAAAGTTTCTCCTAAGGGGCAGCTAGGTGGATAGAGCACCAGCCCTGAAGTCAGGAGGACCTGAGTTCAAATTCAGCCTCAGATCAAACACTTGATACTTACTAGCTGTGTGACCCTGGGCAAGTCACTTAACCCAGATTGCCTAAAAAAAATTTTTTAAAAAAGGTTTCTCCCACCTCTCTTTAAAAACCTAAAAATCATGTTAAAAGGAAACAAGTCTAAAGAGATATGAGAGTAGGGACAGAGTTAAAATATTCTTAATTGTGGGGCTTGGTAGAGAGTAGGCCAAGGGGTGCCTGAGCTACAGGTGGGAAATACCAAGAAATGGGCCAAATTCTCTGGTTGTTCTGGAATTTTGTGACATCAAATACAGCTGAGAACAAGGGGATCCTTGGCAAAGGCCTGAAGATTTTCCTATAATACAGTAGTATTTGTTGGAAAAAGATGTAACCTATGCTGTCTTCAAGTATCACTTAGATTGTTAAATCCTTGACAACAGGGACTGTGTGGTGTTTTCCATCTTTGTACTTCTCTCAGTGCCCGGTGGAAGGGGAAAGGAGGAGGGGGAGACATAAATGTCAGTCATTGGTGCTGATTAAATGAAAGTATATGGCAAATAGTTTGGGTTGGTTTTTTTTTTTTTACATTTGGGGAATGTTCATGATGTTTGCTAAAGAACAAAGAAAAGGAAAACAAATTAAATGAAACATTTCAGTTAAGTTCAATTCAATATTTAATTAAGGGCCTAAGATATGCCAAGTACTATAGTGAGAGCTGAGAATACAAAGGCAAAAACATAATCTCTCCTGCCTTCCAGGAGCTTCCATTCTATGACTGAATAAAAGGGAGAATTTCCTGACTATCAGGGAAGTGAAGCTTAGTTTTAGAGGGTCCCCTGACCTAAAGTTCTCTTCCATCTTTCCCCATGCTACGGAGATGGCTCTGTATTCAACCAGGGATGGAGAATCTATGGCTTTGAGGCCACATGTGGCTCTCTAGGCCCTCAAGTGCAGCCCTTTGACTGAATCCAAACTTTATAGAACAAATCCCCTTAATAAAAGGATTTGTTCTGTAAAACTTGGACTCAGTCTAAAGGTCACACCCAAGAATGTACAGTGCCACATGTAACCTCAAGGCCACAGGTTCATCAACCCTGAATAAGGCTATACTAGTGGTATGCAAGCTATGGCTGGTCCTACCAAGCTGGAAGGCCTTCAAAAATGGGCTCAGAGACAGATAATGTGTTTGCCATCTGAGTGCTGGCCTAGCCAAGTCTGGAGAGGCTCATCAGCTGAAGATCAAGCCCTGAGGGATCTCCAGCCCCAGCAACTCACAAAACTGACTACTGGGGCATAGAGGAATTGGGATATGCATTTTAGCACCCAAGAGATCATGAGTCCTTGAGGTCATTTTGGAGGCTTCATTATAAAGATTTTTGAGAATAAAAAGGTGGTCCTTTCTCCTGAGTGCCTTAGGTCTTCTATGACCTGAAAGCCAAAGGATGGACCCATCTTAGGTATAGAACCAGAAGGCACCTCAGAAGTCATCTAGTCTTACCCTCTCATTTTACAAATGAGAAAACTGAGACCCATGGCCTCATGGGTATGTGACTTGCTCAAGGTTACACAGGTAGTTTGCGGCAAAGGTAGCTTCCTCCTAAAACTAAGACTGTATGATTTACTGCTATTAATCACTACCCATCTCCAACTGTCTGACACTTAATTCAGCTTCGTTTGCTTAATCTCCTACTATATCAAGAGTCAGTCAAACAGTAAATGAACATTTATTCAACACCTGCTACATCCCAGTTTAGCACTGGGGATACAAATAAAAATGCAAAACATCCTCTGCCCTCAAGGAACTTACATTCTAATTGGAGGAGACAATATGTGTATAACTAAATACATAAGAGATACATACATACAGAATAAGTAAAAGACAACCTTAGAGCAGAAGGCACTAGCAGCTGGGGAGTCAGGGACAGGCCTGCAGAAAGTGACATTTGAGGAAAATCTTGAAGGAAGCCAGGGATGCCAACAGGCAGGGGTGAGGAGATGTTCCAGACAAGGGAGGCAACCACTGCAGAGTCAGAGATGGGAGATCAAGCATCGTGGAGGAGGAATTGCAAGTATGCCAAATCTACCCTCTCTGGGAAGTCTCAACATAAAACTCAGGATTTGTTTTGAAACCCAAAAAAGCCCTGATTTCATTAACACCTGGTAAGGGAGGGAAAAACAAACAAGATGAATGATCTTGTCAACAACATCTCAACAAATTTGTATGGAATAAGCATGTGCTGTATACAGAGAGCACTGCGCTGGGTTAGAGGAGTTATGATATGGTACCTAATCTCATAAGAACTCACTTTCTAATGGGGAAGAAAACATAAACATGGATATCTTTTTAAAGCCTTTTGCAATATGAATCTTTGTAGAATTGACTAATGCTTTTTGCATTTTTTTCCTCAACTGGAATCATGATTCGAATCTCTTTGCATCCTGTCAGTTTCAACCTTCCCCACCCCAATTCCATGCTGGACTGTTTCGCCTGTGTGACAGTGGGCAAGTCTCTGTGTCTCAGCTTTCTCCTTGTAAGATGAAAATGTTGGACTAGATCTCTAAGGTTCCTTCTGGCTCTGAGTCCTATGATTTGACAAGGCTGTGCAGAAGAATAGTTAAATATACAGCCAACCTCCTGACCCCATAAAGGAATGGAAACACATCTATTAAATTTCATTGAAACCATTTGCAGGGGTCCGTGCCTGGTTAATGTTGTATCAGTTACCAGGCTCCCAGGGCCTTGCTATTCAGCTAATTAATCATGGGCATATACTCCCCAGGGTTCCTTTAATATGTCCATTTTCCTATTAATTTTGTTTTCATTATCAAATAACTCACATTTCTATAGCACTTTAAGGTTTATAAAGCACTTTCTTCCCA